AGCAGGAGAATCATCTAGCACGACTTATAGCAGAGGTTAGAAGACACTTACTTTGTAAACAGGCTCCTAATCAAACAGCATTCCGAATGGTACAAAGCTTTTTTACAAGCACAATGTAAAGTGAAAGGAAGGAATAAGGTGCTTCCCTACTTGTGTACTTCACACAGGAACTGGATGTGTGAGCTGAAATCAGAGAGTCTGTGTGTCTTTATGCATCATCTACAGCTGTTAGGAATTCATGCAGCACTGCCTAAATTAATGTTTTTTGTTCCTACTCAGAACAAATGGTCAAAAGAACTAATGAAATAGAAATGTAAAAAAAAGACATTGCAAGTATTTAAACATATGGTTCCATAGCTCTGGAATAATTTTTCATTTGTTGAAATACCAAATTCAAAGAAGGCAAAATGTATTGTTTTTATAATGTTAAAATAGAACGTAATATAAACACAACTAGTGTGATCACAGTATTGAATAATTTTAAGAACATTTAAACAAATATGAAATAAAATGATCAAGGAGAAGCAAGGCATTTTTGCCTTATAGAACAAAAAGTTTAAGAAATACTTCAACTTGAAACATGAAAGCTGAAAAGCTCAACTTATATGTTTCTTCTGTGGGGACTGGCATATTGCCCCCCAGTCTTTTCAGTCTCTGTGAAACTGCCCTTCTTATGGGGAGTTGTTCCAGAAAAACTGTTTTACCAGTTGTACCACTCATCTCTTCCACCGGGATGGAAAGAAACAGGCAGAGAAGAGTAAAAGCCCCAGGGCACATCAGCTGGCTCTGCTCTCTGAGGCTTTGGGATGCAGAACAACCTCAACAGCCCCTGCTGCTTACAAAAGTGACCCTTGGCTCACACAGCAATTCCATCAGGGCTCTAGGCCACAATTAAGCCTAAGGGAGTGAATTAAAAGTCTGGGGACAGATAGCTGACAGAAAATGGTGAGACCTCTTTTAAATTAGGCACTATCAGTTTTAGGCAAATGGCAGAGGGTCTGGGAGGTGACAGAATGAACGAGGAGAGCTCTAGGAAACAACGCTTATCTGGAGAGTTTTGAGTAGTTTAGTTTGTTTTAATTGGAAAAGAGAAAGGCTGAATCATAATGTAGTGCAAATATGTAAAATTAGCAGGAGAGACTGGTAATCTGTTGTTTGTATCCACTGAGGGTTAAACAAGAAGATAGCTAATTAGCAGCTAGGATTTGGGTTAATTATTAGAAATAAGCCTTTCCAAACCACTAGGTAAGCAGGTAGAGCAGCTCTCTCCACAGCTTGTTTAAGCAAGGTTGTGAAATTTCTTTCACAAGGAGTTTTAATAACAGCCTAGACAAATATCTGTCAGGCAGTGGTCTGGGTATGTTTGCTCCTGCCCCAGGGAAGTGGGCCAGGCTAGATCTTTGTGGTCCCTCCCAGCTGTACTTTCCTTTGATGCTTTGGGATGTGTTTCAGTGCCGGCTTTGGTTTTCCCAAGAGCCAGAGTTTCTGAATGCTGACAAAAGCATCTTCTTGGAGGAAGGTGGTGAGAGAAAACTGAAAAGAAAAACAGCTTAAATAACAACTTAAAAAATTTCTCAGGTAGCTCTCCTCTCTCAAAATAAGGAAGCAAAAAGACATATAAACTCAGCTATAGGACTTTTGGATCATTTTGGCTTGTATTGTACTGTTTGTCTGGGTTTGGGATGTTCAGGACCACAACCTGTTTTCTTTTTTATAAACGAGATAGCAGGTCACTGCAGTGCTCTGGATCCCTGCTGGAAATAGATTGTCATTGTTGTTTATTTTTGTGATGACTGAATGAAAGTTTGTTTTTTTGGCATATCACTCATGCACAGGGCCCAGAACCTCCAGCACAGGATGGCACAGGATGCAACCATAGGCATCCTCTGCCAGCAATTTCCTCAGTTACACAGTGCAATCTTGTTTTGCCACTTATAAATCTTCCCCTTCTTCCCGAGAAAAAATATTCTTCCTTGAGAAATAAGCCTGCGGTAATGACTAGTGGCAGAACAAATGGCAAGAAGAGCTGGGCTGCCACAGAGGCAGGGAAAGCCACCAAGTGCCAGAAACCTTTAATTTCAATAGAGCAAAACATATTACTTGGGCAGTGTCAAAGTATAAAACACTCTGGATTATATTCTCTTTGAGGCTACATTCCAGACTTTGTGCAGGGAGAATGAACTTGTGTACAACTGCTTTCACACTGGGGCAGATCCTTAGAGATCAGCAGCTGTGGGGAACAGATATCCTCATGGAAGAGGAGAGTCAGACCTGCCTCTTCTTGTGTGTTGGCAAATATCATGCACACTGCAAGCTATGAAAAGAAAAAGAAGAGGGGAGATAATTCTCACTGTCTATGTTATGTTTTGTTTTTGTTTTTTTTCAATAGCAAGTTAAAAGGCAGGATGGCAGCAAACCACTACTCAAAGGAAAGGTTGATCCCTGAGATTTGGGGGAGAAAGTAAATTCTACAGTGTTCATTGTCTGGAGTTCTCAGTCACTTTTGGACAGTGGATTTAGCTTTTTCTTTAGATCCTTTAAAATCTCTGCACATTCTGAAGAAGCCCCATATATTTGGCAAGCAAGGTATGCAGAATTAGGGTCTGAAAAGAAGCAGTACTGCCTATTCTTACAGGGGAACAGAGAAAGCAAGTGAATGATCTGTACTTCAAAAGAAGGACTTCTGAAATCCACACAGCAAATCTAAAGAGCTGATTTCAGCAATGATCTTTTATTTGAAATTTTTTTATACTCAAAAATAGACATGCCCACCTTACTGAAAACCCAATAAATTCTGAGTTTAGTTGATTTCACTGAAATGTTTTCTTTCTGACTCATGGGTGAAGTGTCTTTGATAACACTGAATACCCTGTTTCATTGCAGGGGCACTGATTTTGGTTTTTAAACTAAATCCATTAAATTACAAGACACGATTACATCCAGCTGAAATTCAGGTCCCGACACTTATAATATTATACAAATTAGGATCATGAAGAATATTATGACCTTGAAGCTATTAGAGATTGCAAATTTGCAGACATACCATTTAAAATGCTTTATGCAAACCGGGGTCTAATACTTAGAATTCAATACAGGAAATAGTATATGATGATCATTAGAAAGAAACTGAGAATATGAGTGGTAGCATAGCCTGTCATACAGAGTGGAGGTGAATTTAGCTTCAGTCAGGCTACACAGACCTTATAGGATAAGAAAAAGTTGGAGATGCGAGACAAATGTGTAGGCAAAAGCTTACAGGAAACAGTTACAGGACAACTAGCCAATAAATGTCATATTTGCCTTATAAAAATTAAAGTAGAACACATGGTCATATCAGATCACCTCTTTTAGATTTAGGCACTATGTATTACCAGATAACTCAGGAAACAAAAGAAGACTCAGATCCCTGACTGACCCTCTGCTCATGCAGATATACCTGACTGCAAAAGCCCAAACTTCCCTTAAAACTTAGTTGCTGAACTTTAGTAAGTTAGAAAAGATTTCCCCCAATATGTAATTAGGCAATCAGAAATTATTCAAAATAATACTTACTTTAGATTTTACATTTCTACTTTTCCTCTTTACTTGATTCTTGTTCCATTTTCCTTTCATATCCACAGTAACCATCTGAATAAATTTCCTACCTATCACAGTAGCACTTGAATTTGCTGTGTAATGACATAACTGTATTGCATTGTTCTCTGTCTACTCATTTAATTTGCATCATTAAATCACAGTATAAGACTCTTGTTAACAGATACTGTAAAAGACTTATTTATTTGGAAGAGGTTCCCTGGAAACGGTTGTTCTACTCTCAGTTTAAGTTCTAATTTATTTTTGAGTCTTGCCTATGCAGTCTGGAGACAGTCTGTGCAGAAAACTTCAAAATGTTGGTGGAAGCCCTGACGTTTCAAGGCAAAAATCAAAGTATTTTGACTGAAAATTCAGTGCCATTCACCACACAAAGATGACGAGATAACAGATTGTCTTCTCCAAGACTGACTCACCACAGAGAAGTTCATTCCCAGTTTGGGTACCGTTATCACCATCTGAGGAAAGCACACTGAGTTCAAGTAGATTCCCTGAGCTGTGATTGTACTTCCACCACTAGGGAAAAATTAAAAAAAAATAAATAAAAAAATAATAAAAAAATGAGTAGGATAATGCTACATCTGCTATGACAATCTTAATTACAAATTATGTTTTAGAGTGAATGACAACAGAAAACCAGAATTAGGGATATATGAGGTGAATACAAATATATAGCTCTGAGCAGTGCTAGGAGACAAATTTTACACTTGCTATAACAAATAATCAAATACAAGAAAAGAAAAATAATTTTTAAAATTGTGTTATGCCAGGATATTAACATAAATGTGTACATTTCAAAGGAGGGTGTATACTTGTACAGGGGTGATGAAAAAGGTGTCTTTTTTACCACTGACAATTTTTTGGCAAAGGCAGATGGTTTGGATTAGAGCTACTGAGATCATAAATACGTCACATAAAAACACACACATGCTACCATACATATATATTCATAATATTTATGTAGGGCCGGATTTAGACTATTTTAAAATCCATTTGCTCTCCTGAGTACTGGTGACTTGTCACATTAAATGATTTTCCTCACAAATCAGTGTAATGTCCAGACACAGGAGACACACTTAGCTGTACAGTAGGCATCCCAGCAGGGCATTACAGGTACGTTCAGAAGCTGGTAGGAGTTAAATCACATAAAGAAAAGAGGCACCCTGCCCCCTTCTCCTTCACCTCTGTGAGGAAATGATCTGCCCTCTGCAACTGTGCCATAATTGAAGCAATTGGCATGGCAGATGGAGATAAAAATGCAATTTCTTTTGATAGATTGCTAAGCATAGTCATTCTTCTTTCATTCATTACTTTTCTTATTTCTGTAAGAAACTTTTACTCACCTAAGAAAAGATTTGGCTGGATGAATTTTGAAAACAACAGGGTCTTCTCTGTACATGAAATGACTGCTTGCATCTCGGACAGCTTCATCGATTCCCACCCTCACACGACATTCCTGGGGGATTGGTTGTGGTGGAGTGTAGCACTCCACAGTGCTTGCTGATACACTGGAAGAACAGATAAGGCCTTGCTTGTCACCATTAGAAAACTTAACTCAGTTGAAAAGACTGTACTTTAGTGAGTCCCAACCCTGCCTAAAGATCCACTTGTAAAAAAATGTCATTGATTCCCACACTGGATGATAATTTGCAACAAGTAAGTACGGCATGAGGTAGAAACAGCAACACTACTGCATAGGCTCAAGTTTCATCTTAACTTCGTAGCCTTGCACCTTGCCAGGTGGGAGGTGTTTCCCCAGTTCTGGCAACAGCCACATGAGCCTCTGCACCCTGCAAAGGCAGCTTCCAGCCTAGAAAATGAGCGTGTGCTCCCAGTTTAAGAACAATTGGTTCTGCTGTAACCTAGGGATAATGTCTTTCTTTTTCAAGTCCACAAGATCTACCCTGTGTTAAAAACCCCAAGAAAAGGTGCTGGTGAGGGAGGTACCAGCATGTTAGAGATGTCCTGCCCTAGGGGCACCTGATAACTCCAAGTGCTGCTGAGGGGCGCACAGAGGGCAAGGAGAAAGGAAGAGAAGGTAAGAATTCAGGAAGAGCTTGCTGAATTCAGCACAGTAGCAGAGTCTCTGGGATATTCTCCTTTCCCTTGCTCTCTCATGCATGGCCCTGGAAGTCCTCCTCCTTCACTGAGCTCCATGGGTGAGCAGGCAGCAGAGGGGTGAAGGATCCTGAAGCTCGAAGCACCTAAGCGTGGGCTCAGGGAGCAGGACACATCAGAGACAGGGTAACAACTGACTGGAGAAGAAAATGTAACTCTACTGACTGGTTTCAGTAAATTGGGCCAAATCACATGCAAGAGCCCTCCAAGTGAGGCCATTCCCATTAAGGCACTGGAATAGGTTGCCCAGGGAGGTTGTGGAAGCCCCCTCTCTGGAGGTGTTCAAGGCCAGGTTGGATGAGGCTTGTGCAGCCTGGTCTAGTGTGAGGTGTCCCTGCTCACAGCAGGGAGATTGGAACCTGATGATCTTTAAGGTCCCTTCCAACCTTAATTCTATGAGTCTATGATTCTTAAAGGATATGAGAGATTGCCTCCAAATTAGACAAAAAGGACAATTAATGTGACTTCTGAAGCTTTCCAGAAAGGTGGAATGTGTGCTGTAGGAGTTAGTGATTCATTCCCAAGTATCTGGAAGCTTTTAACTGTCTTCTAAAGGAAAAATAAACTCTTGATCTAGCTGCCCTCAGAATTAGGGAAAGTTGCCAGTTTGGGTAGAGGGTACCTGCCCTAAGAAACTGGCTAAGACCTGTGTAGAAGTCTCCAGACAATTTGGCTGGTGAGGAAGAGGGAAGCTGGAGATGCTTACTGGATAAGCCCCAGCTATGGTTTGATACCTAGAGGTCCACCTGACCAAACCAGATGTCTGCCTCTGAGGTGGCTGTCATCTCACCCCCACAGTACATGTCTCAAATGGTTCAGATTAATCATCCTCAACAGTTTTTCATATTTGTCCATTAGTTGAGCAGCTGAGATGAAGACACCAATAAATGCCACCCTAAATTATTAAGAAGCTACCGAACAGAAGTGTTGAAGATCTTGGTAGTGATTGAACACCAGACTTGAAAACCTAAATCCCTTTCTTGATTTAGTCAGACTCAGCTAATTTGATCAAAAGCATACAATAAATTATTCAGCAGCAAATAATAAAATTTAGCTCTCCTGACTTTGAGTCTGACGTTAACTAATAGGCTATTGCTTCATGTTCTCCACAAGTGTGATGCTTCAGCACTATGACTCTTCATAATCATTACGAGAGACTCAAAATTTAGAGGAATTGCTGGGCATCCTGCTCCTGGCATACAGTGGACCAGATTCTAGGTTTGGCCACAGAGGTGACAATTCAGTCCCCGCCAGTGGGAGCCACCCTGCTGTACCTACCTAACCAAGCAAGCAGAATGGCTACCAAATTGAGAAGCCTTGTCTGCCCACAGCAGAAAATCTGTGCTTGCTATTTGTTTTTTATATTCAGCTGGGATTGAAGGCATTTCTACACAGAGCACATCAAAGATTCTTGACTAAGCTCCTACTGGATTCAGTACAGAGCCAAGAGAAATTCTGGCTTAATCCTCTAAACAACTTTATATACACCAGGAAAAGTCCCAAACTGATGCTGCCTCTGGTTCGGAGGCTGTTCACTAATAGTAGCACATAAATAGCTGCTCCTCTGCACAGGATACAATCTCAGACCCTGGTCAGGTTTCCACCAAAAAACATCCAGTAGGAAATGGTAACCTGCACACACTGGATGCTCACTGGGAGCTGCTGCATGGACAGTAGCTCTTGCTAATACCAGAGGGCTGAGTGTATGGGAATTGGGGTGACAAAAATGAAGGGAAAGGGACAGTTTCTAGTCCATTAGAAGCTGACTTGCTACTTCTCTATGTAACCTTTTAATGAGGTTAATGAAGGCCTTACAGAATAAACATATCTTCTAGGGATCTGTAGTCTAGGAATCTTTCAGGCATGCTAAACTCAGGATGTAATCCAGAACAGAATGGTTCTTTCAGTATCAATTCTCTGATCCATAACATGAGCAGAGGAGAGCAATGAACGTTTGTGTCTTTTTTTACCCCAAGACATTTTAGTCAAGCCATTTCAATATTAAAGGCATCACTTTATAATAAGTACATTACCTTTTTAAGGTGCATGGTTTCTCACCAACAAAGATCCTTCTGGATTTCCCACTGTTAAGGTATTTTCCAGCTACAGTTAGCAATGTTCCTCCAGATTTGGGGCCATAGGTGGGAGAGATACTTGTTATTACAGGATTCTGAGGGGAGGGGGGTAAAAATAAAAACAGTGGATTGTTACATTATTTTCAAAATGTGAAAAGAAAGAATCTTAAAACATTCTTAGCATTTCCATGAAGTAATAATAAAGCAAACAGGAATATAGAATTACCACACTGGATTGGATTAATGAAAAGTCTCCTTCCAATTAATATTGAAGCTAATTTTGACAACAAAGTTTTAATCATAGTACTTACCACGTATGAAAATGTATTGAATACTGTTTTGTCATGTCCAACAGAAACACTACTGGATATGTTAAAAAGTGGATTTTTTGCAGCAGGAACTGTGCATTCCAGCCTTTGGAAAATAAGGAAAAAGATGGGATTACAGTTTTTTTCTGGCTTGATTTTTTGTATTACAATCAGCCACATCAAAATTGTAATAATGAAGGATCCATACTAAACAAAACACTGATCTATGCATGTCAGGGACATTTTCAGAATTATGGTTGCCTTTTTCAATACTACATACAAACACTGTGGTGTTTATACTTGGCCAGAGAAAACAATTTCAGAATACCAAATAAATTTCAGAAAAATAAAAGAAGCATGCTAGAGAAAACAAATACCTCCCACTCAATGGCTGAGTTGTTTTTTGGTATTTTCCTTTCATGACAAATTTTGGTAGACAACAGGTTTATAAAAAATGCATCACATACACAAGTTTGTTCTACATTAAATATTAAATAGTTAAATATTACAAAAAATTAAACTTGAACTTTTGTGGCAGCATATGTAAATGTAGTACATTTCATTTACGTGGTCTAATATATTATGTTGTCTCCTTAAATAATTTTGTTTGCATTAAAACTGTTGACAGTAACAGTTAGGAGAGTGCTCAGTACTTCTGGAAGATGAGACCTTTTTGTTACTGTATACATGAATAGCAAAGCCAAGGCACAATTTGCACATTGCTTTGTTTGTAGATAGTCAAATGCTTTGAACTGAGAAAGGATACTCATTGAACATCCTATTTCTTCAAGATATCAACCAGAATAACCTCTGTCTTAAACTTAAGCAATTTTCCCACTGCCTCAAATACTTATTTCTGCAGAGGGGGAGGAGAGTTGCAGCTGAGAGACATAAGCCCCTGCATGACAAAATACCTGCATCTTCTCACATTTCTCTCCAGCAGCTTCACAGAGCAGGAAGACAGAGGTGTGACATAACTGAGCCCAGCAGGATCCCCCCAAAAGGCCCTGCCCCCTTTTCAAACATTTGAATAGTTTTGTTCTTGCTAGCTCCCACAGATGTTGAACAGCATTTTGCAGGCAAACCAGAAAAAGCTGCTGCCGGAACTATCGGCATTAACTAGATTTATTTGATGTCCATTTCAAGCACTTTTTTCTTGGGGAGCTTATAAACCAAAGGATTGTTTCCTGATATAAATTTCAGAATTGGAGATGACACTTACAGACTGAATGTTTATATCATAAAAAAATCCGTATCACACAGAGAACATCGGGTATAAAAGGAAATTAATATTTTAGGTTTCTTACTTGTTTTTGTTGCTGGATTTTGCTTCCAGGGCACAAATTTGTCCTCCAATATGGACTACTGTATTTTTAAATTCAAATCTATTATTTTTGCTGAATCCAAAGTCCCATCCACACAGTGTCAGTTTTGTCCTGCCTTCTAAGGGAGCACTGTTTGGGATAATCTGTTAAAAAAATATTGTGTTAGTTACATCAGGTTTTCTTGAAGTTCAAATGGAGTTAAAGAATGTGCAAAGGAATAATTTTAGAAAAGCATTTCTTCTGGCAGACCATGTCCAACCATTCATCTTAATTGTTCTTCACCTTCCATTTGTCACATTATGAGCCTTCTCTGACAGTAGCAATAAATAACAAAACCTATACTAGAAAGCTTTGAAGGATAGTGTTTAGGGGCACTGAACAAGCTGTGCATTGTAATAGTCTCTTAAATCCTGCCGTTCTTGTCTTTCACATCTTATTTCTGGCATGTTAAACATACAATGTACTTATTTTGTTAGAAGCTGAATGCTGAACACAAAAGAGCCCCAAAATGACAATTTTTTGTTAGCTTGATGAAAGTCAGGTTCAGAGCAAAGTAGCTTCAAAGACACCAAAATCCGATATTGCATTGGCTGTGATAAAGTTAACATGACTTCTGCTATTCTTCCCTTAAATCTTTTACATTTGGTCACCTCTAATTCCGAGTTAAAAATAAACTACCTCTCAGAAACACACAGAGACAATCTACAAAGGAAATGCTTTTTTTTTTTTTTTTTTCTGTATATTGTAAATTGTCCTGTAAAATATAACAATGGTGGGAAAAAGGTAGGAACACTATAGAAGTCTTACAAAACTCAGAAAAAGTACTGGTCAGTACTGCCAGTAAAAACCAAAAAAATAAAAAAGATATTCGTTCAGGGTTTATGGGGACTTTTAACAATACTGTGTAATTTTGCAAACATACCACTACCACTGAACAAACAGAGAATGAAAGACTGAATTTATACTTATGGTCATAGTGCTTAAATGTCTTAGACTTAATGCTTTAGTGATAGCAATTTTGCCCCTAAAATGCAATACAGCTGTGCCTTTCAAAGAATCCGACTTCATTTTCAAGCTGAAAGGCAAGTGTTTGAGAGATACTTGGCTATTATTTCATCTGGAAATCCAGTAAGACAGCACATTTCTTTTCAACTCTCATGTAGCTATACTTCAAGACTCTCACAAATGAACTATTGTAGATAGAAAGGCAGCTGAAGAATACTTCAAAAGAATTATACTATATATTCTATATGGAGAAATTTACTGCCCCCATTAACAACCAGACAAAGAGTCTGATCTAAAATGCACTGAGGCCCGTAGGAATCTTCCCTGTTTTACTGAGCTTTGAGTCAGCTCTCAATGAGCAAAGAAGAGGGAACCTATGTAGGTACATTGCTTTTACACAAATCCCACAAAAAAGGAGTGATGCACTCACAGCTCCCCAGCACACAACACTGCTGCTAAGAGTGTGGAGCACTACTGTACACCATGGAGTCTGTGCTATTCCCAAATTTAACTTTCCCCTATTTTTTTATTATTTTTTTATTTCTTTCAAAATCTGGACTGACTTCAGATCCTTGTTTTCCACTCTACTTAATATCTCATCCCACTATCTATTTTTGGAGTAACAAAAAGCTAGCAGAAACTGAAGTTGCTCTGTGGGGGTACAGGATGTCTCATGTTTTATACAACAATGCATTGACGTGTGGCATTTGAAGACTCTGAAATGTAATCCATAAGTTTGCAAAATAAGGGTGTTAAAATCAGGCTCCACACAGCCATACGGAATAAAAACCAAAGGCACTTAACTAGTTTTGAGTGATCTGCCAAGAGAGACTTTTGATAGCAGCCCATGTGCCTTAATTGAAGGAGAATGAATGTATTTACTACATCCTGCCAGCAAATTTACAAGACAAGACTTCTAAATAGATAGGAAAAAAATAAACCAAATCTTACACTTTTTTATTTAAGCTCTGCAGAATTTTCCCCAGTGTTCTGTGGGAATTTATTTTTATTTCACTTGTTGTATTGCAATGAAACCACTGGAAGTCAAATGTAGCTTTTCAGAGTTTTTGTTGGGAGAGTTGACACGAATGAATAGTGAACCTCCTGCATTTTGAACTGAGGCATATGTAAGCATCTTCTCTGTGCTTACATTGGTCGGGTAGTAACAGAAAGTAAGCAAAATCCAAATCAGTTATAAAATGCTGTGAAATTTAGGATTCAGAAGTTCTCTACAGAAAGGATACTCCATTGGTAAGATGGAGCAAGTCCTGCTGCAATGCCTGATGTTCTGCTTCTCCCTGCTGCTCTCTGGATTTTTGAATTAAAGGACATAAAGTTGACTTTTCTTTGTGGAAAAAAATTAAGTATAATATTTTTCTTTTGTTTATGTTGACAACCATTATGCTAATATCCACTCACATACTTTATAAATTGTTGGAAGAAAGTATCTATTTATTAAAGTTTCAACAGCCCACTCATTTTAATTAAGAGGCAGGAACATGTACAGGCCACATGTGAAATTTCCAGCAAAACCTCCAACCTAAATAGGCAGCAGAAAGCCTGATGTTCTTGGTATGTCTGAGACAAAGGGCAGCTAAAATGACTCACTTTAAAAGCAACAAAAAACCATGTCAGGTTTTTAACCACAATAAAGAATCAAAAAGGACACCAATTTATTTCTTCTTTTACGCTGTTCACCTTTCAGCGTGACCTGAACGCCACACATGGAAGCCTGCAATTTGTTCCAGCACAAGTGATCTCAGAAAAGACTCCTGAGTTGAGTCCCTGAGCTTCCCTCTGGCAAGGCCAGTCCAGGCTGAGGAAACACGCCTCGTTGTCTGCAGAGGCGGTGGGTGGGAGTGGGTTGGGTGCCGAGGTGCGGGGTGGGGACGTGTCCTGGCACCAGTCCTGCTCCCTGTCTGTAGCAGGGGGGATGCCCAGCAGAGCTGGAGCTCTGGGCTGCAGCCTGAGCTGCAGGGCTGTTCCCCACCACCCACAGCTCTTAGGAAAAGTGCTTAAAGCAGGGCAGAGAGACAAAAGATCTGCAGGACTCCACGGGAAAATGCTGGATTTCTTCTCTGCCATTCTTCCTGAGGGGAATACCTCTTTTTTTTTTTTTTTTTCCATTGCACACCACTCAGTGTAATAACCTGGGAAAACTTTGTTGGAGACTTTGCTAATGTCCATTGGACCAGGTCTGCAGAGAAGCTCTGTGTTCCCCTCAGGTTAAAGTGATCATATGACATACCTCAAGCAATATGTCCCTCTGAAAGCTGCAAAATATTAGTGGGGGGTTCAGACTGAATTTCAGATACTATGCAAAGCAGGTCATCCTCTGTTTGTTAGGAACAAAACAAGCTTGTTTCTCATATTTTATGCATATGGGTTTAAAGACAGATCAGAAGATGATGAATAATCTGTTCTATATTTTTTTCAGTAATAATGTTAAATGTCATGGTCCAGTAGAGCATGAAATCTGTCTTAACAGCTAGCAATCCAAAGGGATTTAAGTACTCAGCTGCATTTTTATTCCTTACAAGCCTTCTAGAAGTAACTTCTACCAACATGGACACGCTGTAATTTGAGATTCACTTTAAGATCCATCGGTGCCACAGATCCATATTCATTACAGGGATAGACTGGGCTTTTGCTGAGCAGGCAGGGCTGAGCCATGTGTGGAAGGGGAGCACTTGGTCAGCCCTACACCTGCTCCTACTGCACCATATCCAAGGCATGTTCACCTGAACGAGTCCTCCTTGCAACTTCACAGGGATGGCAAAAGTGGCCTTGGGGACACACCTCTCTGTCTAAGCACCTCTGCATGGGCTCCAGGCACTTTAAACTGCTGAGTGAACACATTCACAATTGCAGTTAAAGAGGGCTATACAAGCTCAGCGCTTCTTAAAATCAGAAACTAAGCTGTTCAGAGCCTTAGAAATCTTTTTGGAGGCACTGCAATATACAGCCATTGCTGGAAAGTTTTGCCAAGAAAAAATATTAAGGGATGCATCTTGTGCTTGAGTTCTAGGAAACACTAAACAAGCTGTGCCAGATAGGTGGGGTAGCTTGGTCCTGCAGAGGTACATAAAAATGTATCAGGACTCATTGTCAGTATATCCCTTTGAATTAATGATTCACAGACTCATACAAATACAGGCCAGAAAGGACTATTTGATAATCTAACACAGCTTTTTTTTGAAATAAATGTGTTCTTGTATAAAGTGAAAGCAAACTACTTGCATTCTGCACTAGCAACATTTTTACATCTCCTTTGCCCAAAGGTAACATAGACCACAGAGGGCAAGGCAAACCCCCTCACACGATATTACTTCTTCGTTTGTTCATTGAACTTTACCTGCATTAGGCCTAAATTTTGTACCTGAAAGGTGAACATGGAAAAAGAAAAAAATAACCTGTAAACCTGTGTTTCTAACTCATTAGCACATTTGCCTGTTTACTCTTTAAAAAGTTGCTGTACATGAAATAATAAGGAAGGAAGGAAGGAAGGAAGGAAGGAAGGAAGGAAGGAAGGAAGGAAGGAAGGAAGGAAGGAAGGAAGGAAGGAAGGAAGGAAGGAAGGAAGGAAGGAAGGAAGGAAGGAAGGAAGGAAGGAAGGAAGGAAGGAAGGAAGGAAGGAAGGAAGGAAGGAAGGAAGAAAGAAAGAAAGAAAGAAAGAAAGAAAGAAAGAAAGAAAGAAAGAAAGAAAGAAAGAAAGAAAGAAAGAAAGAAAGAAAGAAAGAAAGAAAGAAAGAAAGAAAGAAAGAAAGAAAGAAAGAAAGAAAGAAAGAAAGAAAGAAAGAAAGAAAGAAAGAAAGAAAGAAAGAAAGAAAGAAAGAAAGAAAGAAAGAAAGAAAGAAAGAAAGAAAAGCTTTTGTCTCCCTTTCTCTCATAGAGTTTAACACGGCAAAGTTTCATCTCAATGTAAAAGCTGCATGCCCATAAAGGAAAAAGTATTTTTACCTACATGGTGTAGTTTAAATGCACTAAGAAAAGTAAATTTGCATAAATGCTACCAGAAATGCTTTTATGCTTGTATTTCCCCCAGTTTTCCATAAGCCATGTAAACCTCTGCCTTCCCAGCCCTGTCACCCTTCACACAGGACGATTCGGTTACAGGTACCGGGGCCAGCGCGGATCCTGCCCAAACCGTAGCTAAACGGAAGCAGGAGCGCGCCAGGGCGGCTCTGCTCCTCCGTGCCGCTTTGTTCTGGCACACCCTTGATGGGCTTGGGCCTGCTGGCAGCTGCCTCTGGCTGTCCTCTTTCCCAGGGAGGGGTGCAGCTACAGGCTCATCCCCCTTGGTGGCAAGTGGACCCATGGGAACAAGGAGCCCGGGAGAGATGTTTGGAAAAACCATCCCTGCAGGGTGGTGCTTTGGTTGACAGCTCTGTCACACCACCCTATCCCCCAGTGCTGGAGCCAGCGCAGGGATGGATAACGAGTGGGGCCTGGAGGCCTTGCTGTGGTGGGTCAGGCCATGGCAGCTGTGGGTGGGAAGAGCTCTCCTCCACCTCCCCTCTTTGAAAGGCAACTGAGGGGAAGAGTGCCCCTTTTTGTGATGGGTCTTTCCCATCAGATCTCTGCCAGGCTGCCTCAGACCAAGCTGTTTCCCCACCATGAGTGCTTTGCAGGGTTGAGGCTCTCCTGTGGCAAGCCAGGATGATCAGACAGACCAGTCCGAGAGCCCTGGAGCCTGCAGTGTTCAGGGAGAGTACCTGCATCCAGCCAGAGGCTCTACGGACACCGAGGTCAAGGGGAAGCCAAGAAGAGCAGACACTTAATTGATTAAGGTTGCATAAAAACACACAGAAAATGTCTGCAGAGTACAAACCGTGTCCTTTCCTCAGACATAGATATGAGAAATGCACTGTTTTACCTCATAAACCTTGGGCAAGCAGATCTTCTGGGTCCAGGTGCCGCCGGGGCACTGGGGCAACCTGAGGCACTGCTGGCTGCACCAGCCACACTGCATGAAGGCAGGCGCCTGCAGGCACTGGCTGCAGGACCTGAAGTGATGGCAGCCTGGTCCCTGCAGCGGGATCTTCGTTATCTGTCAGTGGAAAGACACGATGCACAGATCCTTTTAATACATACACTAAGCGGCAAGGAGAGTCTCTATTTATGCAGTGCACCGTGGTGCTACTCAGATTTCAGATGTGCAAGCTGCAGTTCGACTTCTCTTTAGCTCAGTAATTATAGTATCTTATAAGTAATTTAACTGACATGATTTTAAATTCGCTTGGGAGAAACCCTAAAGGCATCTTAATGTTATATACAGTTACTACCAGCATCTGGTGTTTACAGCAAGATAGCATTTTTAGCTGATGGAAAAAGAAAACAGGAGTGTGCTCCTCCCAGTTCTGCACTAGTTCTTGGAAAAACCAGTGTATGTCAGTATGCCTTAGTTCATACATATAAAAAAGTAGGCATGATGGCAACTGCAACTTTGGTGAGGCTGCATTAAAAGCTGTGACATACAGCATTTGACTGCCCATGTACTTGCTGTTCAACAGCTACCACCAAAAACCCTATACTATACCTAGATTATTAATTGAAATTTTTGTTATTTAAAATACCAAAATAGTTATTATAATAGCAACTCTAAATATGTACAAATTTGTTTTAGTTAAAATATTAACATAAGTAAATAATTAAATTACTACATAAGTACATCATACTTCTCTACACTTTAGTATCTTCCTTTACCTTATTTTGGAAATTTTCTTGAGATTACTCTTATAAATATCTCATTCATTTCTAGTAAATGATTAATAACAATCTTTACTAATGGCTGATGTATTTCTGCAAATTCTTTTAGAACTCAAGGGGTCAAATTATTGCTTACGGTTCTGGTTTAGGATTATCTGTAATATTATCTGCTGATGTTTTAAAGCCAGTCTACAATGCGTGTCTACTTATGACAATAGCATATTTATGACAGCTCTTCATCTTTTATTAACCATTTGTAGACTACATGCTAAAGCAGGCTTCAAAACTTACTGAGAACACTGACTTCCAATTTTAAACACACCCACATAATTCTTGCACCCACTCCTCCTGAAAAAGTTATAATGTTATGACACAAACCATCAAAAGCCAGGAAACTGTGAGCACCATTCTTCTCTGAAGCCATTGTGTGTTCTTTCTTTGCAAGCACTTGAATTGAGGACAGGGTTTCAGCCTTAAAATTTGCATTTCCTGGCTTTTGTCTGTTTATGTCGCAGCTCTTACATTATTTAAACATTTCTCAATATTAGGCTGTTGGTTTGTTGAGTACAGAAAAAAAAATAATCTTGGAGGAAACTTGCCCGTCAAGTGTTCCCAAGGGAATGACAAGGCTGGGAGGATGCAGAGCATAAAGCCGCAGTGTGAATAGCTGCTCTTACTGAAAGTTGCTGCTCTGATGGCAGGTTTATGCAGTGAACAGAAGGATTAGGTTATGAACCACTCACCTTTTTACCTGTCACTACCAGGGTATAGCCATCATCTGCTAATGAATTCTCGACAACAACTTGGGGAGAGACAGGGTGGGAGTCTAGCTGAAAGCTGACATGTGGAGATGTGGGTTCTGAACGGGAAACCACTATCTAGGAAGGAAAGAAATTGGAAATATCAGCAGACAGTGTGTGACACAAATGCATGCTGCTCAGCAGTCTCATGTTCCTAGCACTTCTCTGCTTGCATTAATTACTTTACGTTACATTGCATAATATTTTGCATAATGTTCCATCATGATCTGATTAAAGTCCTATAAAATCTGCTTTATTTAACACAGCAAAATCATTGCTGTTGGGAGGATCTTAAAAATGCATCATATTTATCAAAATATGAAGGAGTCGTTGTGTGTTTTTAGTCCTTTAATTTCAGGTATTTATAAATCAGCTATAAAAAATGAAGATGGGTCATTTATTCAGCCCTGTACATTTAAGAAAGAAGAATTTTATCTACAACATCCATTGAAAATAATCTTATAACTCTAAGCCTTCAAAAGTCAAAGATATTTCGATTTATTTTCACTTTGGTCCTTCAGTTTGAAAAGTAAACTTTACCCTGTGTCAACAATATGTGGTGTAGAAGCAGGTGGGGCCATCAGAGTGCAAAGCTACAGCAGGCGGAGGTTGTGCTGCGAGCAGCTTTGAGGAGCTACAGGCACATGGACCTTGATCCCCAGAGCTGGCCGGGTGGCTGCTGCTACAGACAGGCTCTTTGCAAGACATGGTTGGCCATCTTGAGACCTGGCTCCTGGTGATTTCTGAGGGAGCTGAGTGTCCAGGACAGAGCACTTAAAGCACCTCTTTATGACAGGGAGAGGTGGAGGCTTCTCTAGAAGATGTTCCAAAACAGGAGCCTAATTTAGTTATCCTGAAGACCCTCTGCAAGAGCCCTCTCTCTCTCTATTGATTTTAGGAGATCTTAGGGAGATTAGTCACACAGTATGAAATTCCCCCACTAGTCATCTCTCTGCATCTTGAGTTACCTAAATACTTCTGAGAATTTAGGCCTATTCCTGCAAACACACGCTTAACTTTACTACTGTACTTTGTTGACTTTAATGGGATAAGTCATGGTTGTTAAGCACAGGCATAAAGCATCTGCAGATTGGGGTGGATATTTGATAGCAAGATTTTATAGGCTTGGGCCTGCAACCCAGAGGGATGTGCACCCAAACTGATAGCATCAGGCAACACAGGCAGAGGATTGTTTACATGAGGGAAGATCATGTTCGTGTTTCAAAAGCTGCATCACGTGTAGTTTACTTAAGGAATTTAGGTAATCAACATTTACTGAGAAGCTGAATTTCAATGGGATTCATTCTTTAAAAAGATTGAAGGCATTCTGGAAATAACTTGTATGTCAAATGTTTAATTTTTCACTATAATGAAGCTTTTCTTCTGACTCTGAAAACAGCATCAGAACAGCTAGGACATTGACTTACATGATTTCACTGGCTTTTCGCACTGCCAAGGTCTTTCAACAAGATGGCTGACTCCAAAACCAGACTTAGAGATGCTGTAATTACAGCTGATGTTTTATTGTAATTCAAAACTTAAATAAAATATATGAGCAGTTAATTAATGGCAATAAGTGCTTCATATCCCAGAGGTATTTACAGTTTGGAGTTGCAAGAGGCCTCTTTTTCCTTTAAAATGAAACTGGCTTTGTTAAAGACTTTGCTATGGGTTTGTTTCACAGTACAGAAAGTGCAGCTTTTAGAAATCAATAAGGTCTGATCATTTTCAGTGACACAGAAGTATGGTGTCTGACTCCGTGTTATTAGGGCATGAGCTCTGTTTTTATATTCAGGACAATGAAAAATAGAATGGACTGCCAGGCTGCATGAAAAAAACTTGATTAATGTTGGCATTATGTGGAGAGGTAGCACCACAGCTGCAAATACCTTTTTAGTTGATCATTAGCCATGTCTCATCTCGAATACCCACTGCTATAAAATGCTAAGAATTCTTTTCTATCATTAATCCAGGCTACCTCTTATTGCCAAGCATTCTTTCTGATTGAGCCACAATGTTAACCCTTTGAACACATCTGTGGTGCAATCTCAGAGAAATACATGAAAATTTGGATCCCATCTCTACAATCCCAGAAATTTTTTTTGGTACTTTAAACACTGACCTTTATTTTACTGAGTCAAATCACTTGCTTAAAGCCCAGGTAAATGGACTTTGACCTCATGACATACAGGGAGCTCAAGCTGCATTTCCTAACTCATTTGGGACTTTGGAATAAAAATTTGGAGTTTTCTTAGAACTAATCTATGAGCCTACAATGCTGCTGTAACAGATCCTAGATGCAAAAATGCTCTTTTTGGTCTATAGAACTGTGTGGTTTTTTGCACGCATCAGCCCACTCCCTGAAATTCTATCTTATCCAACATAATCCTGAAGAAAAAGGCAGTTTGAAGACAGCTTCTATAGCAGGAAGAAGCTACTTATGACTCCAGTGCTGTTCTCAGAAACCTCTGATTTTTATTGCTTAGGACTGGGCTGGTATGCATATAGTGTGGCTTTAATCTACCATAGAAACACCACCACACAGAGGCTACTTCTACCATGGAAATGGTTCAATAATATACAAGGATTTCTCTTTACAAAATTATAAAGTACTGGTTTGGTTTTGGGTTTTTTTTGGGGGGGTGGTGGTGTTGGGTTTTCTTTACATTTTAATCATTAATTTAATAACATAAAAGAAATGGAAGTATAACTATGTGTCTGCACTCAGGATAGAGGGTAGGTCTTACACAAATAGATAATAAACTGAAGAGATCAAACAGATGTTAGCAGTAAATGGTCAGTCCTTGCAATAGTGAGAAGTCACCAGAGATGTTCTGCAAGGTGTCTGTGCTGAGATCCACATTATTCAACTTACTCATAAATTAGTGAGAAAAGTGGTTGAGCAGTTAAGTGACAAAAGTTTTCTGATGATCTGGAGGTATCCAAGGGGACGAGGACAGACTATGAAGGATGACAGAAGGACTTCACATGACAGTATGCCAAGGCAATAAAATGGCAGGTGAAAGACAACAAAGAAGATGAATTTAAAGCTTTATATGATAGATCGTGTCATGAAAACATCATCTCACTGCTCAGCAGCAGTCAAAAACAACACCAAAAAAACACCTTAGGAATTATTAGAAAAATATGAAGAGAACAAATGGGAAAACATCCTGATGTCATACAAAGTCAGGGCTTGCTTGAACTTCTGTGAACTTCTGTGAAGTTCTGGTTGCCTCATGACAGAAAGAGTATGTTAAAATGGGAGAAGGTTCAGAGAAGGGTAACAAAGATGATTGAAAGGCTATAATGAACAATGACTGAGTAGGGTATGTGTGGAAACACTATGAAAAAGACATACAGAATCATGAGAACTTAGAGACTAACCATTTACTCTCTTCTAAAAAAAGTACTGAACACCATCAAAAGACAAAAGTGAGTCAGGCTTAAAGCAAACAAAAGAGTAAGACTTCCTAGCAATATATGATGACCTATGGGACTCCTTGCCAAAGGATGTGAATGCAAGAGGAATACACATTCAAAGGGAATCTCCACATGTACTTGGGAAGAGCTAAACAGACAAAACCCAATAGCTCAGGAAATCCCCAGGATAGAAAATAGTTGGAGGCTTGAAGCAGAAGGTATTATGTATGTTTCCTCAGCCTCTAGACATCCACGAGTCACCACTGCTGGAGACAGAGCACTGAACTACATGGACCCTTCATTTAAAGCCATGTGACTCTTCTGATGTTCTTAGAAATTACCTTTCTGAGAATCACATTAATTATTAGTAATGACAACCCCAGATATCCTCCCTAAAGCACACACAGCATTTATGTGTCTCCATTTAAGAGAAAAACAAAAAGTATGTGGTCTTTCAGCATAGCTCAAAAGTACTTTCATTAAGATAACAGCCAACAGTTAATTAATTCATGAATATATGAATTTATATATCTTTTATCCTGAAAGTCAGTGATCACTTAGGTCCACGAACATTAAAATAATTAATTTGAAAATTATTTAATTTTCATCAGCTCGTATTAATGTTAAGTAAGAATACTTGACTCTACATTTGTTCATGCATAATATGGCAAATTAAGACTGTAATAACTTGAGTTAAAAACCAGCATGCAACAGCTTCTTTTGAAAATAATTCTGATGCTCAGTTCTGCTAGTCAGCAGGATTGAATTACAAATGTTACTGTCTGCATGTTGAAATATCTTCTGCAAAAATGAGAGGCCTTCTAAAAGCAATCCCGTCTAAGTATTATATTGTTATTTTTTCCCTAGATGTCTGGCAGGTGTAGGCCATTATCCAACAGAGATAGGCTCAGGGTTAACTTTATTGTGTAATGCCTCAAATGCCCTGGGATATGCAATGTAGCCTTGCAAAGGGCACATATGTAGCTCTCTAAATGCTGTATATCATTCTAATCCTAGGAGAGTATAATGGATCTCCTCTGAAGGGTGTAAGCTTTTCTACTCAGAGTGAATAATAAAACATGTGTGCTCTCAAAACAGTTATTTGTCACCAGTTGTTAATTTGAATTTGACTATATGGATTTCACATTATGCAATATTTGTTGGGGGTTTTTTTGTTTGTTTTGTTTTGTTTTTCTGGGAGCATCAAGACACATTATTTACCACAAAAAGAACTGTTATTATAAAACTGTCAAAGATATGAAAATACTATTTATTGTTTGCCACAGTTTCCTGTTGGTTTACAAATGATAAAAGTGGGAAAGACTGCAACTACAGCTTGCATTCCTACAAATGCACGTGTGCATAGTGTGCATTTAGCTTTACCTAGGTCAGACTGCCCGTATTGAAAAGCCAGGTGGATTTCTGCACCACAGAGGCATGACAGCAGTGAGCACAGAGGACAGCCTTTGCAATGACTCCAAGGGCATCCCATCAGTAGTGTCCCCCCCCGGCTCTGTAAGGTTTAAGGTCTGTGTTCACATGTTTCTTGAGCTCCTTGCTCTGCATCAACTCATTTTGCTTCTAGGCATCATGGCTTTGAGCCTTGATTCCTGGAGAGGCGAGGCCTTGCCACTTTGCTGTTTGCAAGAGGAGGC